ACCTGTGTCCTCTGATTGTAAAGAGGTAAAATTTCAAAACGAAATTGGTAGATCAAGCTTAGTTACGACATTATTAGCCATCGTCTAGCAAAGCAGATATCTTTTAGCTAGGTATTTAACTGCAAACGTTTCTTTACCAGGCAAGGTAACACCACTACTACAGTTTGTCTCTGCCTAGTGTGCAGGACTGAAGCGGGAGTAAGTGTTTCCAAGTTTTGCAGCGTTGTACCTAATGTGTTTCCCGTGCTCAGATCCTTTGAGTGTGCCTAGAAACATACACACTCTTTTGTTGCTAAAGATACACTGTTTCACGATGCACAACACATTCCATCGCCTGTAATACTGGATCTATTATCCTGATTTGGCACAATTGAATGCATAACAACTTTACAAAATGACTACCTGTCCTTGAACACAGAGGTACAGGTGGAGCGACCCAGATACAAACCCACTGTACTGTGCATACAAAGCCACCAAATTACTTTGTGCAACCGATAAATGCGAAGAAACCTCTGTCCGAGTATCGCCACTGTTACAATGAATTCAGTTCACAGCTAACTATTCGCTCATACTCCTAGCTGTAGTTATCAAAAAGCCGTGAATATCGCATGCAGCTGTGATCTAATACAGCTGTGTTCCGCAACGCAGGCATTGGTCTCACGGCACTTTCCAAGGTTAACTGTGTTATCCTATCCAACTTTCCGGTGCTATTGGGCTAGTCGACAAGACCTTACGGGTAGATTACTGCGGTGCATTGAGTCGGTTGATTTTCTGGTGTGAAAATGGTTGGTGAATAACGTTTATGCACAGATGGAAACCCCCTTGTACAAATTGGAAGCGAAGCATTTACCGAAAGACAAACTGGATACTTTCGGGAGTGCATTTGAATGAATATGGGGGATTGTAAATTACCGTGCAATCATCAACTGCGCCAACTTCCCTACAAAAGTATGCGACCTGCTGCGGATGTTACTCATGTTGATTCTGATGCTGATAAGTACGAGATGGAATTAAGCAAATTTATCTTACCCCGTAGGAGTGCAACGAATATGTTTAGATTAGATGGGGTTGGAGACACTATGATACAGGTATCCATAGATGAGTGCAATCGCTGGGAATTAGGCCATTGTGTTGGTCACTGAACGTGTATCAATGATATTCATGGCAGCACTAGCTATACTGGTTTGAGCATTGTGAATACACTATTACCAAGTAACTTCAAATAGTTTGAGTGCGTTCGCTATAACTGTGCGATGGTACATTCTTAGCTGTGATACACCACATCTGGTGACACGATCACTTATCATGTTGATATGGCTCGAGAGTGACTAGTTTTGTTACTTAAGGTTTTAGTCACCGTGCCGGCACTTGATTTAGAGTATGCTGATGATATTGCCCTCATCTGTGACAGCTTACAAACGTGCCAAGCGGCACTGGACAGATTAGCACTAGCTGTCCGTCACTTCGAGCTTTGCTTCGCACCCTCGAAGGGCAAAGCGTTCCTCCAAGATTGGTCTGGACCGCCTCCTACGCTGACCCTTGGTGGGGATCAGCTAGAAGTCGTTCAAAAATTTAACTACCTGGGCAGTTGTATCAGCGCCCCTGGGATTAAAGATGAGATCACGAATCGTATAGCAAAAGCTCGGGGCGCTTTTGCTAACCTTCGCCACTTATGGCGCCGGCGCGACATCACTCTTGTCCTGAAGGGTAGAGTGTACAATGCAGCAGTACGTTCGACCCTATTGTACGGTTGTGAAACCTGGCCGCTTAAAGCAGCGGACCTGAAGAGGCTAGTTACGTTCGACCACCGGTGCCTTCGTAATTTAGCTCACATTTGGTGGGAACACCGCGTGAGTAATGAGCGTGTTCGACGCCTTGTTTATGGCACAGGAAAAGGAAATGAACCGCTCAGCACCTGTTATTTCACGCATCAGGCTCCGATGGCTCGGCCACGTGTTACGCATGCCAGCCCACCGACTTCCGCGACGTGTGTTGTTTACGCGCCGGGGGTGTGGATGGAAGAAGAAGAGGGGTGGCCAAGCGATGACTTGGTCCAGAGGAATGAAGACCGTCACTTCTGAGCTGGCCTCGGTTGGAGCGTCTCGGCTCCCTGGTTGGGGTCCGAAAGACGATGAACACGTTTGGTTGGACACACTTGCTGATATGGCTAGGAGCCGACCTCAGTGGCGTTCGTGCTGTGAGTTTCTTTGTCCCACCCCATCCCTCTTAGCCTCCCCCTCCAACCACGATCTCATTACTTAGCCTTATTTAATTTTGCATAACAATTTTTTTGGGTGCACAGCAGCCGGCTGGTAGCTTACCGGAACGATGCCCACCCGTTACCGGTAGCTCAGCCAGCTTTCACCAGTTGTTTTTTTCTCTCCTTTTTTCTTTGTATTGCGGCACAGTAGCTGAGGTGTTCACCACCTCTAGCTAACATGTATGATGATGAGGATGATGATGATGCCGGCACTTCAAGTGATCACAGCACACCCAGTGAGAACAGCTCTAAATGGAACGATATTGCCGTACAACGCTTCCAGTTTCTAGGTTGTTGGTATAAGTCTGTTGGTGAGACACTTCCTTATTTTCGCTTGTGCACAGCGCTGACAAGAAAGCATTCATAATGAGTAGATTTGGGTTTGAAAACTTAATGCGACAACATGGCTGTCCGAATCGAACTAAGAATGTGGACGTCCTGAGGTCACATGACACTTAACTAACTCATTGCCCCGGGTTAATGATAGAATGAACTATGCCATGGCAAAAGTTTACGCCTTAAGCTGATGCTACTGAGTCCCAGTGTCAGATGAACCATCCACGCTGTGTTGTCTTTTGGGATAGGCCAACTGCTTATCATGCCTAAATGTCTCGATCTTGAAACTGTTCATAGAGGAGTTTGAAGAACATATAATCAAGAAAAAATTATGGATTTCCACCCTACAGGAAGACATCAAGTGAACCGATCAGGATGCTACATAAATGATCATTGAAACGGGCTGAAATGCACTTCATGTGAGTGAAGTGAGGAAAGAAGTGAAGGATCGAGCACACAGTGCTTACCTTTACTACCAAGTGATGGACAAAGAGGGCGTTTATTGTCACTTGGGACATCAGAACTTGGGCATTGTAAAATCGAACGAAACAATTAGACCTAGTTCATTGAGTATCAAAGTCGCGAGAATGGAAAGTACACTGTAGCTTCGAAATGGCACTCACTTAGCACTAGATTTACAAAATCGTTAGGAAGAGAAGTACAGTGGTGCCTCCAGACTGCACTGAAGTGACCTTGGTGAGCAGATCTGGAGAGGACGGAATGAAGCAGATTATAACAGTGAAAAAACAGGCCACATGGTCAGTATTATGAACACAATTAGGCATCCTCTGCTGGTCAGATGCACACTCGCGAGCACATGAAAACACTGGACTGGCGGGTTTATAAAGTCCCATAAAAACAGCAAGTCATTTTATACCTCATGGTTACAAGCCAATAATGCAACGATGGCTTGACTCTGCTGAGGGGACGATTCCATTTCAATAGACCACAGACATTTTCATGCTTTCCCGAAGTACTCATCATCATTCTTGTAATATGAGAAACCATCTACATATCTTTCATTAGCATTCCCGACGCCACAACTAGATTCTGGTAGCTTAATTGCCAAGGTGGTGGCAATGGTGGTGAAGTCTGTGGTTTGAACCAAACAGAAATTTAATGTACGGAAAGCTCTGATTTAGGCGCTGATTTTTTCGATTTATAAGCTTTGTGCTGTTTCGACTAATTCGTCTCGGACCGTCGTCTAGAGAATTGTGCACATTCTTTTATTCCGGAAAGGAAAGTTCCAGGCGTCGGCATTGTGACCAGTGTCGTAGCATGAGGGGGGTGAAGGTGGTCCGCCCCGTGTGGCATGTGACACGGAGCGGCATGTTTAATACCGTCGATTTTTCGATACCAAATATAAAGGACAAAATATCCGGATAAGCCGAGTGTTGCATATTTAAATGTTGCTTTGTATGACTAACAACACATTTGTGCCATGTGCCATGGGTGTGCAAACGCTCTTCCCAGGGATTTCCCTACTTATCCCACTGGGGTCACTTTCACCACTTTTACCTCATTGTTCCAAATGATCATCGATTGCATTGAAAACTAATGTGCACTTCACTCTGAGCCAGTTGTGTTGCTTTCACTTGCCTATACTGCCCTCGCTTAGGTCGAAAATGTTGCCACAGACCCGGGCAGCAAAAGTAGTTGTTACGCCACTGGTTGTGACAATGGGCGCACTTTCAGCTTAAGCAAGCCAGACTGCAGCGGAGTTTGAAAGGTCAAGTGACTAGGTAATTGAGGAGTAGCTATTTATGCGTCTAAATTTCCATCGTGCGCGATCAGCTGAAACATATTTGAAATTGCCAGTGTCCCACGTAAATAAATAAATAAATAAATTTTTAGTATCGACTAAGCGAGGCATGCCCTCACAGACATGATCATGGTAAGAGTACAACAAGTGAGCAAGGAATGTACAATAGTGTAATAGGATTGTCATATGTGTTGATACTTGTGTATGTGTGTGTTGGCGTGCAAGCGTGTGTAGCTGCATTGCTTGGTTTTGTAAATATGTTGTTGCACTACTTGTGTTTGAACGTGTCGCAAGTGCTAAAGGCATGTTTGATGTCCGTGGATCGGAAACGATTTTACAGATGAGCAAGGAGTGGTGATTTCACTTGGTGACGAATCACAACAGCCACGTCACAGTTTTTTAAATGTACCTATATGGCTTTTATAAGGAGAACGCTTATCAGTCGCAAACCCACCACGTCCTGGAACACTGCCGCTAAACTTTTGCTGTAAAAGGTAAACCCACCCAGCTGGTACCCGGGGGTGACTGTTCGGCAGCACGCTATCTACGAAAGCTTCACACATTAGCCGTGTTTCACACCTGGTCTGATATGACGTGTGGCATGATTAAAAAGTTCGTTTCCTTTGCTTTTTTCTCCTTCAGATTATCGCGCCCTGGAGATTCCATGTGCAGTGTGCGGTGACCGTTCATCTGGAAGACACTATGGAATTTACAGCTGCGATGGTTAGTATTCAAGATCATTTTCTGGGGTTGGATAATTCACATAACAGGTTTGAAAGGCCTACCTTACGTGTACGCTTTGCAAGATAGCACCATCTTTTGATTTGCCGCTCATTCAGGGGGTTTAGTTGTCTCATTCTTCAACGTATATCCATTCTGATTGACCAAACAATTTAAAGTGTCCAAGTGCTTTTGCAAATAGTTAGACAAGCACCCTAGGTTACAAGCTTTAGTGGCACATACTTGTAACTCACTTGAGCTTAAGTCTATCCCTTTTGAAAGTGTAAATGTGGCACACGTATACTCACAGGACTGGTGCACTAACTTATTTCGTTTTTGTCCGTCGCTTCGGTTACATTCGCTATAACCAAGAAGTCACTTTTACCATGGACGTGTGGTTTGGAGCGGTGACTGTCGGCAATAAAACCGAACACTATAATCTACATTTCGTTTCACAGGCTCTTACTAGTTTTTGGTATGTAATGTTGGACAGAGCCGCAAGCAACCATGCTCTCTGTGTTGCGTAACATTCCAACTTATGGGGTATCGGTATCAAATTGCTCAATTAACCATTTCTCCGTTGCACGTCACATGGCAATGTTGACCGTTGTAAAACTTAAGGAACCTTTTGGAGGAGAATGGTACACTCGCCGATGGAGTTTATCTTGAAAAAACAACCACCATGAGTAGCTGGAGCAAAAGAGAATTAAATATTCAAGGTGTTCCGAGTTTGGGTATTTTGCAGAGTTTGCAACATCTGGATGAAAGCAGGCCCTTGTTTTACTTTGGCCAGGCCAGGGAGAAGTGATTTTCGCTAAGCAATAACTCACTTATTAGTATCCAGCTTTGAGCATATCTGCTTACCAATTAACTTGCTCCATCAGTTTCTTCGGATTAAGCATCAGCTTGGTCTGTGCTCCGCGCAGCTAGACTTAACTCATCGCTAAGGACAACGGATGCCAGCCAATGAGGCACAAATACGTAACATCACAAATGCAGACAGATAATCTGCGAAACTAAGTAAGTGATTATGTAAGAGTCATTTGCGCGTATTAAGTCGAAGAAAACGTCATCTTTTACACCAGGCACTGTTTGACCTTTTTCGTGAGCACTAGCAAACTATCATTTAGTAACAAATTAATCACCCTGATGACATGTTCATTCGTTGTTTTGTCACAATTGCAGGATGTTCCGGGTTTTTCAAGAGGAGCATCCACAAAAACAGGACCTACACATGCAAGATTGTTGGGGCACTCCGAGGACAATGTCCGATTGATCGAATTAGGCGCAATCGTTGCCGAGCTTGCAGGTTAAAAAAGTGCTTCCAGGCTCAAATGAACAAAGATAGTAAGTGGCAAGTCGGTTAGCGTTTGTGTCCCGGTGACAGACTAGTTTGCAACGTTTGTCTAAAGAGCAGAGCACGAGCGAAGTGTTGCAGAAATTTACATTTGTCTAACCAGAAATAAAATAGCACAGTAGATGAAGGTTCGGCTGACATATAGTGCTCAACGTCTCCATACTCTTTGAAATCCAACTAGTTATCAGACCATCGCTTTCTGTTCACTTTAGCTGCGAGATACAGTATAACACTCTAAGCACGAGATTTATCGGGAGGTTATCATCAATCATTGTATGTTATAAAGTGCGCACATCAGCAAACGCTTCGTGCAAGACTTCATAGGGTTCGACGAAGCTCAGTGTAGCCGACCGCATTTTAGGCATAAACACTATTGTTATTCTCATGCCTACCCTTATAGTTTATAGTTGGAGCTACGGACTTTATTACTACGCCCAACTTGAGGCCTGCTTATGTTACTGCTACGTATCTCTATAATAAAGACAGACGTTATGGTGCGTAAATGGCTTATTATTTGGTATTCTTGGACCTAAAACGCCATACTTACTACCATGGTATTACTGTCTAGTATACCTAACCTTGTCATGTGTGACTCTTAGGGTTTTCCGTTTCATGCACTAGTGTCCATCGGTTGGGTGAGTCAAATATTTCCTATGGAGGAAGCCGGCAACTTGCAGGTCTGTTGAGACGTTGCATGTGAATACTATTATTTAGGGCTTATTCTGGTCACTGAGGAACGCTTCATACTGATTGTACCCTGTAAGGGACTCTGACATAAATTCAACATACTTTGTACATCTCATCTTAGGTGTTCAACATGAAAGAGGCCCAAGAAAACGAAGGCTCACTAGAAACGAATCGCCTACAGCTGCCACACATTCCATGGAACTCACTGTACATGACAGTGAAGTACTTGATCTGAGTATGTATAAACGAGAAAAACGAGAGTATTTATCACCAAGGGACTTTACGTTTAACTGCAAGGAAGGTACGAAAGTTGGGCATACGCATGGAGATTACATATGCTACCAAAAGCATAGAATGGAAAGCTCGAAATCGACTTCATTCAGGTGCTCTTCGACAGAGTTTCTGGGCCAACGCATCAACGTGGCTGACATGTTGGGGGATACTCAGGAGCAAAGCTACTCAAACCACAATTATTCCTCAGACCACAGGAACCATTCCACACCTCAACCAAATGCTCTACAAGACTGGACAACCTATCTTTGTCTGCAAGGATTCCTCAACAGAGGTTTCGAATTCAACGATCATTTTACTTTCAAGTGTGAACCTAGTCTCTATCCTACAAAAACTGGAGTTTATTCGTCTGATGCGGATATTCTGCTCAAGGCGCTATGCGATAAAGCACCATTATGCACAAGAGGTAGGCGTTTTACTTCAATTTTGGCCCATTGCTAGGCTGTTTTGAGCAATTAACTGACCAGTCCGTCTACCATTTTTTTAGTTTTGTGATAATATACTGTCGACGCACTTACAACCTTTCATTGGAATTCAAGCTGCGTGAGGACGTGGCTCACCTTTAGCTAAATAGTGTTATTCCTGTTCAACTCCACAAGAAGTTGATGTTGCAATAGGTCAGGGCAAAATACACCGAAATTGTATACTAATGTAGGAAGAACTCAGCAATAAATGAGCATCATTTTATACAAAAATTAGACAAAGCAAACGAATGAAGGAACAAGTACTTTTAGCTTAACCATCATGCTGTGGCATGTGGAATGCTGTGAATGTTGTAACATGGACCGAGATGAAGTATGAAGAGCATTATTTTTATCTCTTGCCCAGATAACTGGACACGCTCTGTTTCCATCTTCCTTTTATGTTCAGACTCCCAAGGTTGATTCAGTTCAGTGTCTTGAGGAAGTCTGTATTAACAGTCAAGCCATGGAAATATTTTAAAGAATGAAGAGGAAGGAAGTGACTCTTGGTGGCAGGACTTAGCGTCTACAGTACACCAGTAAGGTGGTACGGTGTTATTGGGCCAGCAGTTTTAAGCTCATTGCTCCATAGCTACATCAGTTACCTCACTCTGGGAAATCCCGAAGTACTTACAACTTTGATTTTTCTTAACTGTTTGTTCCTGTGGTTCCGTCGGGCGCATCGGTTGCGTATTCTCACGGTAGTAAGCAGAACGAACACATCTCATTTATCTGCGCTAAATCCCACCAGGACTACGGTTGCACATCAGCTTACTGCGGGCACGTACTACAGTAAACGTGTATTCTGTGTTCCAGATGCAACAGGTGGAGAACATGCAAACCAAACGCATTGTGACACTGGTGTCTACCATCACAACCTATAACGGTAGCTGGTACACCGCGATGCGCACAGTAAACTTGCTGCTCAAAGATCGCTACGTGAGGATGGTTAACGTTCCTAGCCACAAACTATTTCAAAACAGATTATTTACGCCCACACAAACAAAGTCCCCTTTGGAATCCTTTCTGGTTTCCTTGGGTCCCAGGTTGCCGACGCCTCCAGGCGGGTGCCCCAGAACTGCACATGACACCATTCATGGTGTCGGACGTTAGGAGACGGAGTCATTAAAACTTACGCAGTGGGGTCTATTGAAGTCGCACTTGGATACTCATCTTTCGTTTACGCTTGTTTTATTCAAAGAAGTCCTTGCTCCCATAAAATACCTCAAAAATGTCGGGCATCGATCACACGTAGGTGAGCTTCAACATGATGTACTGGCGGTGAAAGCAGCGACGGTAAAAAACGCGTTTGTCCACAAGTTACTTGTGAGTAGGCGAAGAAAACAACGCATTACTACTAGCGTCATCTGCCCTGCTTACCGTCACCCGAGCTGTGTACCTAGTGATGACGAAGTGGGAGTGAATCGTCATTGCCAACACCCGAAAGCGCACTAGATGCGCGTAACGTCAAGATAAAGAATCTTATGGAAAAACGAGTGAAAACGACTGATACTTATTTGAAATGCAGTTAATACTGTGCTGGAGCATTAGGTGGAACTACAACACAGCACAGTAAACATGGAACTTCAAGTGGTAGATGGTGAATAGATATTGCTCGAATTGTGCTCGTCTGGTCATTTATAGAACACCCAGAGTCCGGATGGATGTTGGGCGTTGTCCGTCTGAAAACGCTGCACCCCACGACCAAGTTCAAACTTATTTGATTCCATTAGGTGGAGATAGCAGGCAAATGGACCCAGACTTTTGGGATGTTAACTCAGGCCTCCACCTCTATGTCACCGTGTCACGGTTGGAAATCCATGTAACGTTTCCGGACGAACAACACCGGATATCTGTCTGCCCCGTCAGTTACGGTCCCAATGATCGAATTTTCCAAGACTCGCTTCGATACGAATAGTGGTCAGTAAATATGTTGCACATCGCAGGCCATTAAAACAAAGAGTGCTTCAGAGTACCCCTGTATCCAGTTTCCACCCTCTTCAGAGGAGAACCTATGTTCTCGACCATCCGTAAATTTAGCCGATGCGATGTTCAACGTGTTATTTGTTGTCTTACAACCCGTTATGTAAACTCTATAGATAATGATTCTTTCTATCGCACTGATATAGAGGCAAATATTGTTGGTCCACGTTTCCGATTTGTTTGTCGAACTGTTCGCTGAGCTTTGTAGTTTTGCTGCTTGCGTTTCATTAACAATGGAGTTGACATCATTAATCCGATAATGTGTAGCGAAACGGTGATGCTTGAGCATCGCGTTGATTTCGCCTCGATTGGAGATGAAACGCTTTCCGTAAAATTGAGAAGCTGAATACACAAATAGAATAATAGAATCCACCTGTTCACAGTACCGGTACCCTCTTAACAGTACAGTGTAAATATATAGCGTTGGCATATTCCGTACAATTACATTGTTTCTACTCTTGTTTTATGAGGAGGGAGAATGGTTTAAGTTTAACGGAGGTATAAACTTAAGTATTCTTCGTGTTTCTTCAGTGTGGCAGGACGAGAAACTAATTGGTACTAAAGGGATAAGATGTATTGTATGGCATTAATTTGAGGATATTCGAAGGTTACTGTTTGCCAGCTAGCGTGACTTGTTGATCACAAGCTGTGCCACCAGGGACGCAGCTTGTATTTGGCGAATTGAGTGTTTTAGCGTCCTTTGAAGTTGAAAGATTATGTATTGGTGGTTACTTAATACATATGCTGACTGATTACTTGAATGCTCATTGATTAGTTTCAGAAAGGCGAACGTTTAACAAGGACGCGTTTGGAGAAAAATTCTCAGGATCAGCTTTTCACTTCTCAAACTTGTGGAACAATGATATCATGTGTGTTTCTCAAAGTCTTCGGCAATTTTTTTCGTGCACCACTTGAAACGTTCAGCACGCTCGCAATAACCAGCTGTCAGTTGAATAACTACTACAAACTAGCAGGAGGAGGATGTCCTAAAAATATGAAGTAGTTGCATCCCATTTAATGCTTGCTCTGTGTTCAGCATATATGTGTAGCTACTAGATAAAATCATACGGAATGATACTGGGTAATTTTGCCTGTGAATTACTGCAACATTATATCCTCAAGGGACGTGGAGAATCTTTTCCTCTTTTTCAAAAGCTTAGCCATTTCCACTAAAAATCTTGCCTACTGATTGCTGTACGCCACATTAAAACGTTTGTATCTGTGATATTAATATACAAAGTTAACAACAACATCTTCTGAGTACGTTTATGTCGCTATCGCAACAGCCTGCAGATATATTGCTCCTAACAGGCCAAACTATAGTAAGTATAAGGCCTTATGATATGGCTTCGGCATTGCTTCCGACTACATCGACATGGTTGATGGGTGGTAAAGTGGCCCGAGAGGGATTGTTTACAACCAAGTTTTGGAGATGCACCATCCTTTCTAAACAGACATCCTCAGGATGTGAGGAATATTGTGTGCGGCCCCGCAAGTCCAAGTGATGGAACTGCCTATCGCTGACAATCCATTCAGACAATGAGTGCACCAACATGACCGTTCTGATCCTCAGAATGAGGATACAGCAAACGGTTCCGAAAAGGCGCTTTGTTCGATGCTGAACGAATACGGCGATAAGCTCCATGAGGGTAACAAGATGTTTGTCGCATATACATTAATGAAAGACGAACGTTGTTAGGGTGCTGCATTCAATGGGGTAGTCACATGTTGCTCGAAAAACGCATGAACCGATGTTATATGTTGAAACACGCTGTAGTAAAAGGGGGTGGTGCGTTCATACTCTCATGTACTAACGTGGGATGGATACGGTAGGTATTTGCTGTCAAACTTTGATGTTGGTCGCATTGCTACATGTGTAGCAACCACGTGATGAGGCTTAGTTGAAAATAATATGGTTGTCAGAGATGATTACACTTGGGTTGGTCGGAAACGCTAACATGACGCAGAAGCTCATACTTTAACAAGAAAAACAAAAAATTTTGATTGTCAGATGGAATCTGAAGGACAGATAGCGATGCAACCGTAAGCCGAGGATATTCGTATCTGCGTGAGTCATAGCATATCATAAAATGAAGTCACAAAATGGCACCTAAAGAAAGAAAGGAACAATCTCACTAAAACAAATCTCGAAGATGACAGAACGGCGCTAGCAGTCGGGGTCACAAATTGTGAGGTGCTACTGCAATACTGCTCGGAAGCGGTGGCACCAAAGAGGCGTGCTGATTACGGGAATACAGAGAACAGTTTGCTCGGCTGGACCCAGCGTGTCTTGACAAAAGCTACAAAGAATGGGGGCAGGTGAACAAGAGCAGGTAGTAGTGTAACGGCGCTATTTACGAGAAGACCGTAAGTTATTTAAACAACTACAAGAATAAACTCCAGTCTCCAAACAGTGAAGATTTGAAAATTTATATTCACTAGATACTTTCGTGTCCTACTGAGAGGACTTCATGTTCCCTAACATTGCATTGCTGTAAATATGTGGCTGTCCGTTGATGTGCCATGTATAAAACAAAATGAAATAAATGCTTGCCTATAATCAACAGAATCTTGTGCCATATGTTGATACCACCTGCAAACACCAGTAAATTTGCAACGATTTGCTGGTTGAGGTCGTTATTAACTATTATAAGCAAGCGTTGCCTTAGAACTGGGCCTTGAGGCGTTCCACACCGGAAGGTTATTGTATCAGGTAGAGAGCGTCGTTCTCCAGCGACTAATTGCCACTGGAGTAGAAAGTTGCCGATCCAGCTTAAGAGGGCATTACCGACTTCATAATACTGTAGCATTGCATGGAGAATCTGATTACTTAGATGATTGAATACTTACGAAATGTTCATTCAGCTGACGTAAACGTCCTTTCTGACGTCCTCTGTCTCAATCCAACTAGTTCGCACCTTACTATATTCATTGTGTTAGATTGTTGTCGACGAAAGCTGCAGCGCACGGATGTAAACAGGCTACAATTTTCCAGAG